CCTCAGTCCACAGCGAACTGTCAAGGCAGAGATCTATAGTCAGCAACTGGAACGTTTAAATCAAGCCCTTCGTCAGAAACGCCCTTCACTCATCAATCGTAAAGGTATTCTTCTTCTCCACGACAATGCACGTCCACATGTGGCACGTTTGAAGCAAGATTATGGAGTTGGGGTGGGAAGTTCTCCCCCCCCCCATTATATTCTCCAGATATGGCACCATCATATTATCATCTTTTACGTTCGCTGCAACACCATCTTAATGGAAAACGTATGTAAATATGGAAGGTGCTAAATAGGACATCGACATGTTTTTTGTTTCAAAGCCAAGTGATTTCTTTAATCAGGACATTAACGATCTGATTGTAAGATGGAAAAGGATCATCGACAAAAATTGAGACTATTTCATTTAATAAATGTTTTGATATATAAGTTGTTCAAGTTTTTTCATTTAAAAAAAACAACAACATTAATTTGTTGACGACCTAATATATTCTAGTACCTCTGTTCAATACAAAATTTAACCTGGTTTAGCTGTAGACAAGCTTTCTCTTCAAAATAAATAGTATAGTAGAATAGTAATTTCAACCTCAACTATTTTTTTTAATACTATACCAATGAATGTATATATTTGTATTATCGCAGTGGTATTCGGCTACTGATGGAGGTGATTTGAACGTTATTCCCCCTGGTGGTGACGAAACAGTGGGTCAGCTGTCATGCAGATACTTAGGTCGAGATGTCGCCGGTTTTAAGATAGGCGTCTTTTCCCAGGCGTGTGGAAGTGATATGTACGACACCAAATTGCGCACGAAGCAGAGTCTGTGTTGTTTGGATGGTAGTCACATTCAATGCTGAAAATGTAAACACCACAAAGATTTAAATGTCATATAACAAAAAAAAACAAAAAAAAAAACGTTTGTTAATCACTTGAATGAAATAATAATATTCTTACAATTAAATGTATTGTTTCATGTATTAATAAAGCTTCTATTAAGGTATTTGAAATCGTCTTACTGAATAGCTCGAATTAGCAATTACTTGTACAGTTACAAACCATTGCACGCTCCGCCATGTTATTTTCGGATAAACTCCAGAAATAGCTAAATTATGTTGATATCCGAACTGAAACATAATTTTATCTCGTTTAAGTTATTTCAATAAAGTTTTGTATTTAAGTTAAGATAGTCATAAACAGTGTTGTTGTATTGTAGTGACTGTAGATAAACTTAACATTAAACTAATCATTAGATTTAATAATGGTGCTGCTACTACTTAAACTCAAATTACATTTCAAAGTTAAATACAATAAATAAAAGTTTCGTAGTAATAACACTTTAATGTATGTGAGTCATTGTATAAAACACACATTTAGTGAGATCCTGGTTAAAACCACGTTTTTATTATCAATAATCAACAGGTTTGCAGTCAAATGACTAACTGAGCAGAATCCAGTCTATGTCTTTCCAGATCTCATAGATAAAATTTACCAAATTCGATAACACTGAATAAGATTATACTCATTTTGATCAAATATACGTATACTAGTCGACACTAGTGTGTCGGGGGTCAGTATATACTTAAAGTGATAATAATAATGAGATAATATTGAGGTCTAGTTAAGTCATGCCTTAATGATCGTCACATTTCTTTACCGTAATAGAAATCACTGTTTTTTGCCTTTATATGTGAAAATTTGTTATCCTTGCTATTTAATTTTTGCTAGTAGATATTTTGTACAAATAGTGACCTACCTTTCATCGTACACTTATTACATTCATTTTAAAATAGAGGTGTAAAAATATAAAGTCACCATTTCGATAGGGCGAATCTATAATGATTAGTTGGTTGATTGGCATTTTTTGAATCATCTCATAGACACCACGATCCGCAGTCTGACAAGCTAACCAAGTAGGCTACTCCCGGCCATTATCAGAATTTCATGTATATTGTGCAAATATTTATACCTCAGATATTTTAGGTTTTAAAACTACATTAAACAACATACATTTATAAGTTTATTACCAGTGCTAACAATTTGAGATTAAGGATATAACAATTCTAATAAGTAATGGTCTGAAGTACGTTGAATAGAACTTAAACTAATATTGTAATATGAACAAAGAGAGAACCGGTATTCATCCTATCATTATTATCAGTAGTTCCACTGAATGTCAATAAAAAGTTAAAGACTTTGAAACTAAAGCAACAGAAATTCTAATTTTAGTAATCTTTACACTAGTCTTCCTATTGCTAAGATTAAAGAAAAAATTTTTCATCAACAATTTCAAGATTTTTTAGTAATTCTGCTAAATTAATGTTTGCGTTAGTAAGTACAAATGTTTCCACGTCAGTGTCATTCGTGAAAATTAACTTTGTTTCACATTAAACCAGTTCTTGCAGGTTATGTATTTTTAACTGACAACACATTTGTGCAATTTCACCAACAAGTCTTCCAACAAATGAAAGGCCACAAGTTGCAGGTTTATATTTATTCAAACTTGAATTTTCATGTAAAGCAAATCGTACTAAGAAAAAATATACTAAAGCTTTGCACATCAGTCTCGCTTATACTTTTATTAATGATAATTTTTTACCTAATTATCGAGGTGTCCTAGACACGGAAGAATAAATTAATCCATCATAGCTTTCTGAAAACAAAAACTATTTCACTAAAAACAAAGGTGTGGTGATACAGCGATACAATACGAGTAGCGTATCGTGAAACTGTGATGCGATTGCATCATTACGTCGTCCGATACGATTTATGTAGTTTCACGAAATTTGAAAAGATTTTAGTAAACGCTACAGAAAAAAAATCAGAATTTCTAATAAAGTATTTTTGCTAAAAATTAATGATTCAATAAAGGAATGAATATTGAGTACTACATGTTGTCTTCATTTCTTTTATCAAACACATTACATGCAAAGTAGCATAATAAATTAACAAGAACAAAATAGATTGACAGATATTAACTTTTTTTTATTTTACTTCTCTTGCCAGTTGCTATTTAGTTGATCAAACCTGAGAATTTGAAAAAGCACTGTAAAATGTGAAGTACTTAAATAAGACAATGTTAATAATATATATAATAAATTACAGACAAGACTGTCAAACTTTGTAACAAACCGTTGGTCAAACTTCTGTATCTAGACACGTATTGTATCGCAGCATCAATATCTAGGTATGTATAGTATCGTCTATCATGATGAGATACGCACCCCTAACTTTTTCAATAACATAGAAACTTTTAATTTTAAAACAATGAACTTTCCATTTCCAAAAATATATATTCCAAAAAGCTATGGTGTAATTTTACTACTCACAGTTTACTAAATTCAATAAAGTTTGCCATTACAAGATTTCGTGACAGAACTAATATATACACAAACGAGGTTCTACTATGCAATTTTGAGCTTCAAATCTTTTCAATTTTGCTGGAACCTCAACAAGCTTCTTGCTACCAATCAAAAGTTAAAAGTTTTGTAGAATATCACGACCTATTCTACACTTTCTACACTTTAATTTCTCAGAAGTTGTTTAACGTAATAATGAACCACTGAAACGTATTAACCACCATTAGTTTTACGTCCCGTTAGGTTTAAGCTCTTACTATAGTTGATACATTTTATAACATTCCTTACATAGTATAACATTACGTCATTAGTTAAGTTGCATTAGTTTTTCTGGTTATGTAGATTAACCTATAATATTATATTTCCAGATACACTAATACAAATTATTACAGATTACATAAGATAAAGCATAAACAACGTTTGTTACATCCCAACTGAATGTAAGGTTAGCGTAGAATACTTACTGCTGTTCAGTTCTATTATTTATTTACTTTCTTTCACTTACACATTTAAATAAATACCACAGTTACTATTTTAGGAAAAAATCGTATACTTTATTTTCCTTAAAGTTTAGTATCATACATAGATTATGTGTTTGTATATAAAAAAAAAATTGCATATTTTTCAGTGAGCCTTTTGTGCCCTCGTATATCTGGACCCTGAGACAACTCTCCCTGCCACGCCTCTTACTACGTCAGTGAATATCATGCTCATTATTGCAAATGATAAAATAGTCACCCAAAATCACTTCCAAGTTACAATAGTTTTAGTCAAAGTAACAAGATAAACCTTAAGTATGTGCATGTAATAACATGACCACCAATGCCTATTCCTCCCAACTATGTTTAAAGATGGTTTCTAAAAACAAGAGCAGTTATTCCGAACTAAAACGTATTCCTTGCAAAGTTACTTCTTTATCAAGGATGGGCCAGGTGCGACTCAGTGGTTAACATTCCCGAACTGGGAATCCCAGGGTTCGTGGTTTGCAGATCTATTGCCGCAGAACTAAGCACCACACTTTGGTGCTGTTGATGTGCTATAAGTGTGAGGGTCAAATCCTAATATTCGATCTTTACGAAACGTCATAATTTTCTGAAAAACAGACATGCTGTTTTACCTTAAATCAGATTTTCTTACATATTCCATTATGTACGGAGTTTATATTAAAATGTACTTATACGAAATTAAAGACTTTCACGGTAGTTTGTAAATAGGTGCTCTTCTCACTTCACTTGCAAGTGATCAATTTCGATGATTCACGAATTTAATGTATGCGCAGAATTTATAATTATACAAACTGGTTTAAGGACAATTTACTTCTATTAAAGAAAGATTTTATGGACTAAACTTATAAATTGTAACTCGAAATATGACAGCTTGGACACATGATACCTTATGACGTTTGGGAAGGATTGGTCTTGCTTTAAAAAACAATGTTCCAGGCCCAGTGCTTTCCGCGGATCGTATTCCCCCATCGTCATTCTTGCTCAGTCTAATGGCTACGATTAACATGTACTTTCTCAGAACCTCCGTTCGACGTTTAAGTAGACCAAATGGCGCAAAGGTCCATTGGAGCTACATTGGATTGTTGGCCAGGTATGTAGTTGAATGGGATTGCTGTGATTCCAGTTTCTTTGCTCATCCTTATCATGAAGACAGCCGTCGATTTCTAGATGTTGCCGGAATCGTGTATAATTTTGGCTTGTAAGCTTTCATCAACTTAAAAGTCCTTGTTTGTTATATTTTAAGCCGTATCACGAGATCAAAATATATGCTCAACATCATCGCAGTAGCTTTTTTAGGTTGGAAGGTTCTCTTTCATAACCATAACTTTCACTCTGCCAATGAGGACGTTATTCCAGGTTAACTTGATGTGCGGTTTCAGAGCCAGTTACTGGTCTAAAGAGTCTGTTGTGCGAATTTCTCCACTTCCATGGAAAACACTGATGATCCCTTCGTAAAATTGTGATAGGTGTTTACATGGAAGCTCTTAACTAAATTAGCGGGAATGGCTATCGCTTTTATAATACGTCAAGGGCGGAGCATATTCAGCGACATAACGCAGTCTCGAGTCTTGGACCTTATGATCCACAACCCAGTACTCTAACCACTAGACCGAGTCTAATCGCTATTGTAAATATTAACATTATTCTAAGATTCTTAGTTAATCAATAAACGTGATCTTTTTTGTGCTTTCAAAGTGTTACTTTATTATAATCACTGCGTATTTTTATAGTATAATAGAAAAATAATTATTAGATATAAGGCGTGTTCAGATTTATTTGTGTTTAACCATATATATAAACTAGACCAATATGTGAAGTCAAAAAGTAAACATATGAAATTTCATTGATTAACTTAAATATAGTTAATTAAAACAGATGGTTAATTGGTAGAAAATTGCGGATGAAATTACGCATGGTTACTCTGACCATTCGAAAAATTAGTGAGGCATGTCATACTAATAATACTAATTTACATTTGATGCTTTTTTCATTTATGTTGTCTTGCTTGAATTGACTCTGTGCAATAAAATATGTAGTTTGCTTGGGCAACATTTTCGCATATGGTTC